TTTTACAACAAAATAATTTAGGGGGGCTTCAAAATATTTTAGTGGCGCTCCAGCCCCACTAAAATAGGCCTAGTGATGCCACTGGGAAGGATATTGTTTTAAGATGGCAGCAATTCTGCTCTTGACCCTCTAGTTGATCGCTGATCAGATTTAAGCTTTAGAATGGAATAGATAATCTATTGATCCCAGAGAAAAATTAGCATCCAGCAGCTACAAACTCATAACATGACATTAAAACCTTCGCATCAAACACATTTTCATTGAGAGCCACATGAGCATTATGGTGGCCCTCAAAGGGTCAGCTATAGTTAGCTTTGGCTGAGCAAAGTTAACAATCAGTAACTGAGCTCCACATGGTATTTCCTGCATAGAAACAGTGTTTTAACACATCTTCTTGTAAACAGCAAGGTACATGTATGACTAAATATGAAATAAATAATACAGAAATACTTTAAAGTAAGAGAGTTTTGCCCACTGTTGAGTCGTGGTGAATAGCTGCCGTCTTGAATTCTGAACTCTCCCACTTTCCAACAGGGAATTCCCACTGGAGAGGGCGTTCCAATTTAAATTCACATCTTGTAAGTTTGAGAAATTCCCACTGTAAGAACTCACTCTATGAAATTAATACCAGCTCAATCTCACAAAGTAATGTCTCACGCAAAGATCTTTGCGCTATGAAATCAAAGTGAAATGACAAGATATCAACTCTGATCATGAAAGTGAAATGAAAACTTGTGACCTGAACGTATTTCCAAAATAAAGTAATTTATTTTTAGATATATGAACAGGATTAAACATACAGACACTTAAATATTATATGAATAAATGACACAAGTTATAGTTTTCGACACATGAACTTCAACTCAGAGTTGACAAAAACAGTAAATTTCAGGTGTTGAAACTTTACTGGCACTCTACTTGACTAAGTTTTAAGTAAATAAGAGAATAAAGATAAAAGACTAAGCTTTAAGAATAGGAGGGAAAAGAAAATTAGTGAGTTTAGCACTGTTCTTTATTAATACGGACCAGACCAGCAAACAGCATGTCAGAACCAGACACCTCCGAGCTAGACTTCAGCGTCTTATCTCAGCAAACGTTCGTCTACCTTTGATGTCTTCATTCATGGCCGAGACAGGCAGGCAGGTAGACGATTTTGAGAGTGACCGCCTCGTTAAGTCCGCAGATGGATGATGTCGTTCATGACAGCAGGGCTGAGGAGGGAGACTCCTGTCTCACCCCTAGCGAGCCTCAGCGGCTTCAGGTGCRGTCTCAGAACAGTCGCTTCGTGGCATGTTAGTAACATCCATCAAGAGACGGACATTCACTCCTCAGAGAGACTCAGACAGAACCATCCGCTCCATCCAACAGACAAAGAACAACTACCGTTAACCGTGAGAATAGAAAATTAGTTTCTTGAGAGGAGGGGAAAAAAAGAGAGGTGAGAAAGACAATAATCTCTCTTTCTCACACTTGGCTGCGGCCAGCTGCGAGTTGTTATCAGCAAAGAGAGACCTTGAAGTCTGCACAGACAAAAGTGTCTTAAAAATCACTTCACTGAGGTTATAAGTCAGACCTTTGCACCAATGGATTAATAATACATTATAATTAATCATTAAATCAATTTAAAAAATGATAAAACCATGATTAATAAACCAGTACTAAGAAAAAAAGATTAAAACACACTTCAACTCTTTTTTCTTCACAGTGTTATACTCTGGAATAAAGAGATATGCAAAGATTAATTCAATAAAACTTTGAGTAATGATATATTGATTATAACCTCTTTTAAAAGATTAAATTAAATAAAACACATGGAACATATTGTTCCATTCACTTAATGGAAATAGAAACAAACTTTAAAATGCATTCTTCTTATAAGTGTAAAGCAAATCAAAGACAAAAAATAGAAATGAATATTTCACCAGGGTTACCCCTACACCACTTCCCATTATAACAGGACCAAAGCAAAGGTAGCCACCACTAGGTAAAGGTGCACAGGGTTCAAAAGTGGCTGGTGAAATTTGCAATGTAAAACCATGATTTTGCTGCATTTCAACCTGGAAAGACTCACACAGAAATGCGGCAGTTAAACAGTTTTATTGATATGATAAAGTTCTTTGGCGCTCGAGCCCCAGCACCCCAGTCTGCCAATCCAGGGAAACTGCCCCTGATGTCCACACAATATTGTAGAGTCACGTCAACCAATGCAAACCCCACAACATCCAGAGCCTTAAGGAACTCTGGGTGAATCTCATCCACCCCCGGCGCCATGCCACTGAGAAGCTTTTTAACCACCTCGGTGACCTCGGCACCAGAGATTGGAGAATCCGACCCATGGTCCTCAGGCTCTGCATCCTTGTGGGAAGACCTGTCGGTAGGATTGAGGAGGTCTTCGAAGTATTCTACCCACCGWCACACAACGTCCCGAGATGAGGTCAGCAGCGACCAGAATTGCCCCGAAGCTATACTGAAGTCTTTTTCCATGGCCTCTCCGAACTCCTCCCATGCCCGAGTTTTTGCCTCAGTGACCCGATACCTACCGGCTGCTTCCGGAGTCCCACAGGCCAAAAAGACCCGATAGGACTCCTTCTTCAGCCTGACAGCATCCCTCACTGCTGGTATCCACTAGCAGGTTCGAGGGTTGCCGCCATGGCAGGCACCAACAACCTTACGGCCACAGCTCAGGTAAACCGCCTCGAAAATGGAGGCAYGGAACATGGCCCACTTGGACTCAATGTCCCCCAACTCTCCTGGAACGTGTTCGAAGTTACCCCGGACGTGTGATTTGAAGCTCCGTCTGACAGGAGACTCTGACAGACGTTCCCAGCAGACCCTCACTACACRTTTGGGTCTGCCAGATCTGACCGGCGTCCTCCCTCACCAACGGAGCCAACTCACCACCAGGTAGTGGTCAATTGACAGCTCCRCCCCTCTCTTCACCCGAGTGTCCAAAAAATGCGGCCGCAGATCAGATGAAACAACAACAAAGTCGATCATCGAACTGTGGCCTAGGGTGTCCTGGTGCCAAGAGCACATATGGACATATTTATGTTTGAACATGGTGTTTGTTATGGACAATCCGTGATGAGCACAGAAGTCCAATAACAAAACACCACTCGGGTTCAGGTCGGGGGAGCCGTTCCTTCCAATCGTGCCTCTCCAGGTCTCACTGTCATTACTCACCTGAGCGTTTAAGTCCCCCAGCAGAACGAGGGAGTCCCTGTTAGGAGCGCTCTGCAGCACCCTCTCCAAGGACTCCAGAAAGGGCAGGTAATCTGAACTGTTGTTAGGCGCATAGGCACAAACAACAGTCAGGACCCGTCCCCCCGCCCTCCGAGGTGAACCCCAACGTAAAGGCACCAAGATGGGGGGCAATAAGTTTGCCCACTCCTGCTCGGCGCCTCTCAGCATGGGCAACTCCAGAGCGAAAGAGTGTCCAACCCCTCTCGAGGAGACTGGTTCCAGAGCCAAAGCGGTGCATCAAGGTGAGTCCAACTATATCTAGACGGAACCTCTCAACCTCACACACCAGTTCAGGCTCCTTCCCAACCAGAGAGGTGACATTCCACATCCCTAGAGCCAGCTTCTGTAGCCAAGGATCAGACCGCCAAATTCCTCTCCCTGGACCACTGCCCAACACTTATTGCACCCGACCCCTATGGCCCCTCCCACAGGTGGTGAGCCCATTGGAAGGTGGACCCACGTCTCCTCTCCGGGCTGTGCCCGACCGTGCTCCATGGGTGGAAGCCTGGCCACCAGGTGCTCGCCCAYGTGCCCCACCTCCAGGCCTGGCTCCATAGTGGGGCCCCGGTGACCCGCGTCCGGGCGAGGGAACACTAAATCCGTTTATTGTGTTCATCATAGGGGTCTTTAGATGTACACTTTTATATTTAGGATTTAATATTTACAAATGTGTARCATTTTTATTGAATATTTAGTAAAAAATAGCAAAATGTATGAGCAGTGAGCTAAACATGTCACTGAAAAATTTTAACTAGGATTTTAAACAAAATGAAAATGTGATAGTGACATTTTTTAACATTTTGTTTTACATTTGGCACCCTATAAATAAAAACATAAACTGAATTTAAAAAAAGACAACTCCTTCTGTTACAGAAACACTTTATTTCCTTAAATACCACATAATATTAGTACAGTCAGTTACAGATATTGGTTGAGACAGAAGACATTCTGATCCCTCGGACCCTGCTTTTCTGTAAAAATAAAGACAAACATCAGATGATATCGTGAGCTATGTTTACACACACACATACACACACACACACACACATACACACACACACACACACACAGAATGCTGGCCAAGTTCATGTTCATTGTCGTGTAACTTAAAACAGAGTATCCATGATGTTAAAAACACATTTTAGTTAAAAAGAGGAGGGGGTACTTTCAAACTGTTCCTGCTCACCTTTAACCCCACAGGATATAAATTACAGTCTGTAGGTATTGCTTCAGTCATTTTGAGCTCAACGATAATCTTCTGTTTTTGTACAAACAGGGCTGGTGAGAGGTTTAAAGACATCATTTACCAACTGGAAATCATTTGCCTATTTTACCACCTTTCATCAACGGCATCAGATAAACAGAACAAAACAAAAATAAATCACCTATATCACAACAAAGAACCGGTCTATCTGAATCAGATTTTCTGAGATTTTTTCACATTTTCCAACGAACTGACAACAAGCTCCCAAATCAACCGGATTAACAGTTCCCATGCATGTAAACATAGCCGGTAACAGTAACAGTATATGTACAGTGTTTACTCAGGCAGTGCATAATGAGACCAGGTCAAAAATAACAAATTAAAAGAAACATTACAAGGTTCAGATTTGGAAGTGTTCTGCACCAAATCTGACCAGTAACGTGTCACTGGTCAGACCGAGCCCAGCTAGACACCCGTCTTGACAGTCGGTCTCCCAGTAGTACCATCACTGAAATATTAACAGATTCATTGGCACGTTAAACACCGTCGTGAAGAGAGTGAGGTCATGAATATTGATCAGTTCTGACATTTAGGGTTTCGTGATAAAGATCTGACATTTTCAGTGCAGTCATGTGCGAGGTGTTTTTTTTTTAATGAAAGACACGAAATCAAAGCATTTTTAGAGTAAAAGTGCAGCAGTATGAAAAAGAAAGCCTGTTAAGAGTTTGTCAAAATAGGAAGGAATGTACCATTTTTCATCAGTAAAAAAAATAATAAACGGTTTGTGAACGCTGCTAGTAAAAGAAATAAATAAAACAGATGCAACTACATGGAGAAAAACTAACTTATTTACAGAAAGAAGTGCAAACTTTCTCTGACATTCACACACATAATAATCCACAGTTTATCCCAAAAGGACATGCGTAGAGGCACAGAAAACGTACAAAAAAAAAACCAAAAATAAAACATCTTAAAAAGCAGAACGGAGTTGGCTTTTGTGACTCGTCTCTCATCTCCAGCTAATAGAAACATGCATTCAAAGCACGGACTTCATGGGACGGGCAAGAGCTGAATTTTCAGCCCTTTGATTTATCATTTCAAATAATGTTAGCACAAAAAAAGTGACTTCAGTAATGCTGCATACATATATATTTTACCAATACACAGTATCGGGCTCATTTCAACAAATGTTATTATTCAAATAAAAATGTCTTCTTTGTATCAATATTTTTGGTTTTCAATTTGGTTTCTAAACTTTCATTTTTTTTGTGTTCGAATACGTGTGGGGCTCTGTGGTAATGCCTTAAAGGGAGTCCTGTGTAAACATTATCAACAGTTAGTATCTTACCTGTTCTGCATAGCGTTTTAACGACAGCAGGTTGAAGAAACCGAGTTTAATTCTTGCAGGATTGATGAGTTTAAAGCTAGTTTGAGCAGGGCCAAGATCAAATGGGATCACTGCTGTCTTAAAAACAACTCTAAACACAAATATTTTTATTTTAACTCAATTTTTTTTTACTTTTGCTAGAAAATTTGCATTACACAAATAATGCAACAGAAATATAATTTCCCTGTTGAAATTGCCCCATGCTACACTGCAAGTGCTAGCTCCCGCTATTAGTGCTGTGTAAACAACACAAAATAACCATTTAATGAAAAATTAACAGCTTGGGAAGGTTTATAAAATAGTGATTGGATGAACTGCTATAACATTTTTTACACTGTAATTCTTTTAAAAAATAGCCAGAAATTTAATCTTAGTTTTGATCAGATTAACTAGATTAACCAGCTTATCAATTAGCTTATCAATCTGATCCAAGTGATAGTTTGTCTCCAAACTGAGGTTGTTTAATGACCTWTCTACAATAATTAAAATACTAACTGTTTATAACCTTTCCACTGAACCCCTAACAAAAAGATCGGAACTAACCTTTTTATAAATCAAAGCTAAATCATCGYTGCTACGATTCTTTAAAGAGGATTTCCCAGAACTGGTTAGCGGTCTACAAATTCTTGCTTGACTGAATTATTCAAATAAACGCTTGCATAACGTAAGAATGCTACAGTTTGATTAAAACAGGCAAATACTTTTGAAATACAATTAAGAAGGCATTTTAATGAATAGGCCTCTTGTTTTCTCTACCAACCTAAAAAAAGGACATTTCTTGGATAAAAACATTCCTTTAGACCATTAATAAAAGCATTAAAAAATATTAGAAGAGGAATACAGAAGTTATGTATTACTTCAGATGTAACTGTTGCTATGTGAGAAGTAGTCGCATTGCTCCAGACACATTACAAGATTCCCTTTTCTTCACTTTTAGGTCACAAAACCACATCCTCAGTCACTTCACATCACTGGAATTTGGCAGATCTCAGAGAGAAGAAATAAGCAAAAGTCACCGTCACAAAGCAATATTTTTCCAAAGACCAAAACAAAAACATTAGTTACTTAAAACCGTCACTACAGAATAAAACAAATTAACCCTCTTTTCTTTTTTTCTTTTGTTTTTAAATGACCTCACTCCTTCTTTTCGTGGAGAGAGGCACGGACGAGCTTGCGCACATAGAACGCGGTGAGAGCGCTGCAGCAGGCGGTGAAGATGAAAAGTGCCACGGCGTCGTGAGCGAGGTCCCCGTGGAGGCGCTCGTAGAAGGGCCGGCGCTCCGTGAAGTCTGTTCGCAGCGCCTCGATCTGCAGCACGGTGCACGCCATCACTAAGATGTGAAAGATCTGGTGGCCCTGCCCGATGAAGTCACACCTGCCGGGGAACAAGCTCTCCGGGTGCGGGCAGCAGAAGAAATAGGCGCTGATTAGGAAAAAGAGCACGTGGTAGATGTGGTACGGCACGATCGGGTCGGAGCAGCTCTCCCGGTAGCAGCTGTAGATGCGGTGGACCACGGGGCTTATGTCTAAACAGTAAGCCAGGGCCGAGGGCACGACTTGGAAGAGCTTGTGGGCAAACTTGGGCATATCGTGTCTGGCGTACTTGCCGTAGCAGCACCCGAAACAAGTGAGCCAAGCTAGGAAAGCGGCGGTGGGTAGAAAGAACCCCCGCACGGTCGTGTGCAGCTCCTTCTCTATTGCGTAGTAGTAGTGGGCCAGAGCGCTCCCGTACTGGTAGACCGACACCCCGACRTAATCCAGGAAGTAGAAGGTGTAGTAGGAGAGCTCCGACTTCGCAGACAGGAGATGAGCAAGAGCACTGAAGGAGAGGTAGGTGAAGGCTGAGAGGAGGACGATGAAGAGGGGCTGGGCGTGGGGGTCGCGCAGGAAGTCCACCGTCTCCGAGATCTCCTGACACTTCACTAGGATGATGAGGGCGGCCAGCAGGTGGGTCCACACGTTGAGGGTCTCGTTGTGCCGCTGGAAGAGCGTGAGGAAGTAGTAGCGCCAGCTCTGGTCCGTTTGCCGGTAGCCCGTGAGGATGTGGCGCTCCTGGAACACCTTGGGAACGTCGGACAGCTTCACGGTGCACGGCAGCGTAGGGAAGGCCGACTCGAGCAGCTGAGGGATCTGCCGCAGCTGCTGGGCGTTGATGAACAGCCGGCCGATCTGCTCCATCACTACCGTCGCCATGGCCAGCTAGAGTCTACGGGGAAGGTGGAGAGGAGGAGGGAGCGGTTAGTCAGCATCTGGCTTTGAACCACGTTAACATCAGGTGTGTCTGTGAGGATTTGTGATTGTGCAAACGCTGACTAAGGATTTTTCTGTATGCTTCTAATTGTTTTGTACGATAAAAACAACATTCTTGCAGGTTTTTTTGTTGTTTGTTTGTTTTTGTTTTTTGTTTTGTTTTTATGTCKGGCTTGATTTCCTCTGATTCTGTTATCTTAGTGTTCTTTAAGTAAAAATTAGCCCATTGAAACCTCAWTGATAAATGCAATTTTGTTCATTTTTATTTATTTATTGTTCATTTTGGACAATGTTCAATGTTCAGTCCTTTTAAATAAAACGTGATGACAGAATGTAGAAATGACTCAGCCTGAAACTGAAAATGTAGATGGAGGATAACAGAACTGCATCATGGAAGAAACACCTCAGCTTTAGCTTTTGCGCTAGCTCCTGAGCTAATATGTAAATATTGATATACAGTATGCTGTTAGCTCTAGAGCAGAGGAGCCCAAAGTGGGGCCTGTGGGCCAAATTTGGCCCGCCAAGCCATTTGATTTGGCCCACCAACAGTTGCCAAAATTACAAGGTTGTAACCTGTTRTCCTATGTAGAAACACAGTATTTCCATTGGTCAAATGACTATATAAAAGGGCTGTAGTTAAGGTAGTTTTCAGTCATGGTGCTGACTTTAGCTTTGATTTATTAGTATTAAACATGAAATGACAACAAGAAATATTTAGATCAGATTTAACCCCGCATGTAGATTTGCACACTTTATAAGGCCACAAAATCTCATATTTTATCAATTTATGAGATGTCCCATGAGCCTTTGCTACTTGAGCGTATGGCAGACTTTCTCCAAGTGCACAGRCTAAAACAAAAGCTTAATGGTTAAAAATAAAGGACTTTACTTTTAAAAAGTAGTTGTATTTCATAGGGCTGTATATTGGCAAGAATTTGGCGATACGATACATATCATAACAGAGGGGTCACGATACGATATTTCCCGATATATTGCGATACTGTAAGCAAGGCAATATATTGCGATACACTGCAATTTTTTTGTCCAAAAATTCTATTAAATAAAAACCTCATACTGAAAAAAAAAGAAAAGCTAATGTTTACTTACAATGCTAATGCTACCCTTACTCTCTGGCGCTCAAGAGGTAGAGGAGCCAAATTGCTGGCTCACTGCTGCCAACTAGTGGTCAGAGGCTGAACTACAACATAAAAATGAACGGTTGGCAAGAAGGTTGACATTTTAAAGCTTAATTAAAAATCGATACAGGGCTTTAGAATATCGATACAGTACCGGGAAATGAAATATCGCGATATTTCAGTGTATCGATATTTTCTTACACCCCTAGTATTTCATGTTATTATATAACTGCATTTGGCCCGCAGCCATTGATAGATTTTCATTTTGGCCCCCTTGGGGAAAATGTTTGGGCACCCCTGCTCTAGAGTGAATAAGTAGAGCGTTAGCTTCCAAGCTAATATACTAAACATCGTGTTGATCACACTGGATCATTTCAAATACTTATCAGAACATAGAAATTAATACAGCATATCACTTTAGTATTGCACAATATAGCATCGATTCTTTGTGTTGTAATCTCAACTGTAATCCATAAGCGTTGTCATCATCCCCAGAATGCATTGGGTCAGTAACAAAATGGTGATGTGCTTGGGCAGCGGCGGGTGCAAAATAAACTTTAAGCTTTACATCTTGTCATAGTGTAATTCCCTCATCAAAAACTTACCCGGAAATTACATAATATGTCTCCCATATGTGAAAAATGTAATAAACATTTACATTTTTTTAGGAAACTGGGAGTTTTTACCTGTCACAAACAACTTTTTGAGAAAAGTTTTTAAAACAGCGGAGACAAAACAAGCTGTTAAACCACAACAACAAAACGTACAATTGGATGAGATGAGGCTTTCAGACTGTAAGGGCACAGTTGTGGTAGCATCATGCTGTGGTACTGGTACACTGCACGCAATGTGGATGGAATCATGGAGGAGGACTACATCCAAATGATTCAATTTCACCTCAAATCAACAGCTAGATGGTTAAAACTCAAGACTCAAGACAATGATCTCAAAGCTGGTTTCTGAAAGATGAAGTGAGCTGACGTAAAACCTCTGGATCATCTTTGCCAAATCCCCAGCCTTAAACCATTTGAAAATGTGCGGACTTATCCTTAAAAGCCAGGCGTATGCCAGGAAACCAACCAATTTAAAAGAAGTACTAATTCTGCCAAGAACAGCGGTCAAACAGAGTAAGAAAGCTGCCAGGAGCTTATCTACGGCTACAACTTGCAAAGAAACACACCACCAAATGTGTTACTGTGGGTGTGTGTAGTTCTGACCATGAGCGTATATATTTTTTATATATATATTGTGCAGACATCAGTGTGGGACGCACATGATGAGCAGAGAGGATGAGGAGGAGAGGCGTGAGTGGTGAAGGCAGATTACGTAACATAACTCCATCCTATAGGTCCACACCCATCAGCGTTCAACAAGCTCTGGCATTCTTTCAATTAATTCTATTTTTCAATAATGTGTATATATATATAAAAATCGCGGTCAGCTTTAACTAGAAAGCGTTTGTTAAATTTATTGTGCATGTTAAACGCGAGGCCTTAAGGCCTGTTGCTGCGGGCTCTTCTGCACCTGACCACCGGATCATTTTAATTTTAATTCATGATAAACGTMATTTCCATCATGGTGCAGCCAASCGCTGAGTTTACTGTTACAGCCTCMAACCTGCAGCTGGATAAGAAATGGCGCTAATATTGATAAAATCTGACAGCGTTCGAGACGCTTCTCCTTTCTCACGGTATGCCTCCTACATTTCAACGACCAGGAGGGGGGAAAAAAACCCGTTAGTCTTAACACTCGTAAAATAAAACACTTACCTGTGAAAGCTGTAATCAGTACGGAGTCTTAAATGTACCAGTCGGTGAATAAATTCGAGCCGTACAGAGCTTGGATATCATTATTTGACGACCCGGACTGGACAGAGAAGATAACCGTGACAGAAGACAGCAGCAGCGAGCCTGTGGCGGATGAATCTCTTTTCTGGGAGGGAGCCGATGCGCTTTGACTGACAGGTCGCTCTGGCCAATCAGCAAACACGTCACCACGACCCTCTTCGCCGACGCGGTAATCATATTGGCCAATGACATCTCCGGTCTGACCAGCCAGCCCGCCTACTCAGAACAGAAATTCTTCCACTGTGAGAATTTTTCAGATAAGAGGTAATGATGACACAGTCGGACCTGTGACGTTTCAGATCATATACAGCTGATACTGTTTACTTATTGTGGTTTAGGCTTTAATAGTATTAAAAGTAACAACCATTTTAGTTTTAAATGTGTCTTATTACATATTTATAGCTTCCTATTAAATGGGTTTGCTTTAGGTTGTCTTGAACTGACAATAATGTCATTTCTGGACACTTTATGCAACCCAGAACTTTTCACATGTCATTGTTTGTACCTCCACGTGCAGCAGGCATCTCACCTATGTTGCTTGGTAACACACAGCTTCAACAACAAGGTTTAAAATGACACGATCTCAGTGATCAGATAGGAAGGAGTAACACCAATTTTAACCAAATATGCTGCCTGCTGAGTAGTGCTCCTGAATTTACTTAACTGGTTTGAATTGAAGTCGTTTTCCTGTCCAAATCCCACTGAGGACATTAATAGATAACAGTGTTGGACAGTAGTGGATTTACTTGAGTACTGTAATTAAGTGCATTTTTTGAGGATCTTTACTTGAGGAATTATTTTTTGGGGTACTTATGACTTCCACTCCATTACATTTCATCCATCCATCCATCCATCCATCCATCCATCCATCCATCCATCCATCCATCCATCCATCCATCCATCCATCCATCCAT